GGCCGGGGCGGGCCCGTCACACAGCAGCGTGCGTCGCGCTGCCTATCCTCGCCATGACAGGCGCTCTCACGTCTCTGTGGCGCGCACTGCGTCGCGTCTCCGTCGATCTAAAGCGACCCCCTCCCTCCCTCCCCTCCTCTCCTTTTCCACTCCTCAGAGCCCTTTAGGCCCCTCTCTCGGGTCGGATTCCGAGCGGCTTTCAGATTCAGATACTGGTTTTCACTGGCAGAAGCAGGCAGCAGTATAGATAGGGCTTGACTTTGGGATGCCGTATGGATATGTTTAGGAGGTCGTGTGTGTCATCGCGGTAAGGGGGGGGGGGGCTGTTTGCGAGTCGAGAGCGCCTGGCGCCTGAGGCAAGGGGTAAGAGGACAAGGCGAGGCGACAACCATCACATTCAAATCTCCCGCGCCTCTGCCTATATCATCCCGCATGCCGCGGCACAAACGGTGATCGTTGAGGGTCTATGCATTTTGCGATCGCACATGATGAAAATCTTTCGCACGACAGCCTTTTACTGTTCAACGTCGACGATTATTGAGCAATTTTTTGTATATATATATATTATTTTTTTTTGAAAATAGTAAACGCAATTATGCTGCTGCAAACCCATTTCACAATTTTAGCTTAAATTACTTGTATGGCTTTTTATTTATGTTGAGTGTTATTACAATAAACCACTACAAATTACTTGCAATATTTACCCCATCTTATTTTTCAGTGCACCACCAATGCGCTCCCTTTTTTTTATAGTACCCGTTTCTGGTTGCTGCGATAATAAAGGGCCGTGTCTGTTTCCCATCGCATCGCTACATTGGATTATATTTCTATAGACACAGAACTCCTGGGCTGGGGTTGGCTGGCGCCCCACTCACCCCCACCTGCCACTGCCCCGCTCCCCCCTCCTCCCCCGCCCCGCCGCAATTGTAAGCTTTTGGCTTAGCTGTGGCGTGCGCCGCGGTGCGGCTCGGCGCGACACGCCCAAAGCTTTGGGCTCGTTTAAGGCCTTGCTTCGCCGGCTTGTGGTCCAAACGTTTTCGACTGTGTACCCCAATACTCATTCCCACATTGCGCGCGAACATTTTACTTCAATATGTGGCTCAGAAAAGGGGTGGGAGGGGGGGAGAGAGAAGTGGGTTTGCTAAGGGATGATGGGAGAGTATTTTCTCGTGGATAAAAACTGGATATATCCAAGTGACAGACATTCTATAATAATTTTAGCGTGCATACTTTGACCTTTCGTCTCATCTCTTTTCCAGGCCTGCCCTACGAGCTGAGCGTCTACTGGCAGCAGTACCCGTGGACTTACGGCGAGGTGCTGTGCAAGTTTCGAGCTCTCGTGTCCGAGATGTGAGTTTTATTTTACTTGCTTAGTGTCAAAAGGGAATTTTGAGATGTAAACTTAAAGTGTTAACTAAGACTTTCTTTCAATTTGAAATGAATAACATGTGCCGGTTTGGATAAAAGTGTCCCTTAGCATACACACGGTTGTCTTTTGTTTGATGTCCCTGTCGCTGCCACTGCCGCGCCTGTTTTAACCTCTCTGGTTGTTTCCCCTGCGCCAGGACCTCGTACACCTCAGTGCTGACGATCGTGGCTTTCTCCTTGGAGCGCTACCTCGCCATCTGCCACCCGCTGCAGAGCTACCGGATGTCGGGGCTGCGCCGGGCCGTGCGCATCATCGCCGTGCTCTGGATCGTGTCCTTCGTGGCGGCGCTGCCCTTCTCCGTCCTGTCCACCGTGCACTACCTGGAGTGGCCCATAGGTGAGGCGAGCGGTTGCACAAGGTGCCTGTGGAAACAAAAATAATTTTATGCATATCGGTTCCACATTCACGTGTCCAAATTACGTCGTTTTTGAGGGGCGGAGTACATTCTTCGCGGCGCTTCAATTAGACTCAGGGGGGTAAAAAGATATGCTCTTTTCGGGAGGTCGCGATAAAACTGGTCACATATTTGTCCAAGTAGGGTAAACCTTATCAGGACATCTAAGTGTCTGCACAGCCAGTCCCTTTTTAACACGTCAAGTCCCACGTGACCACACGCGTGGCCACAATAAGCTGTGATTGAACCCCTCTCCCTTATTGGGCTCAACGTGTTATAAGAGTCGTCCAGAAAGTACACGCATATTTTCCTCGGATTCCTTCGGCAAATAACGGGAGCTCGGCGCCTGTCATGCTCAGGGTAGGCCAGCCCGCACTACACGCATGCAGTGCTGGCAAGATGTTGCCTACGGAACAGGCGCTAAAGAAGCTCGCAGAGGCTAAACTTTTTAGGTTCATAATGGCAAACGTACTTTCTGGGTGATTCATACCTTAGGCGAGACGACCTTGACAAAAATGTCGGCTCGTGGGAAAGGAATTGATTGCTATGCCCGAACTTGTTGTAGGGTCCGGTCTTCTGGCACCCGAGTCGGCCTTCTGCGCCATGCTGGACTCGTACATGGTGTACGAGACGTCGTCGCTGCTCTTCTTCCTGCTCCCGATGCTCGTCATGGTGGTCATCTACGGCCGCATCGGCTCCAAGATCCGATCGCGCGGCCGACACTCGCTCGGCAAGCGGGTCGAAGGCACGATGCACGGGGAGACCAAGCAGACCCAGACCCGGAAAGCTATCATCCGCATGCTAAGTAAGAAATTTAATAAAAAAATGAAAATAAAGTAATCTAGAACTGGAAATCTGTCATTAAATTAATCTGCAGATTTAGTAGAAAATAGTCAGGCTTTGGCATTCCCGCCGCCCCGCTAAAGTAGTTACATGATTTGCGTTTTGCAGGTGCCGTGGTGATCGCGTTCTTCCTGTGCTGGGCGCCGTTCCACTCTCAGAGGCTGGTGTACCTGTACGGCCAGGACCTGCCGCACTTCGCCGAGATCAACGCGTGGCTCTACTACGTGACGGGGGTCTTGTACTTCTTCGGCTCCACCGTCAACCCCATCCTGTACAACCTGATGTCGGTCAAGTACCGCATGGCGTTCCGAGAGACGCTGTGCGGCAGCCTATCGCCGTCCGCGGCCGCCGCCCGGGGCGGCTTCCGGGAGCAGAGCAGCTTCCGGGACACCTCAGTCCACCAGGTCGGCATCGTGTGGGGCGACAAACCCGAGGGTCGTGTGCAAGAACGTGGAGAAGTGATTGTTATAACAACCCATGTCCTGTGTCCAGGTTGGTGAGAGCGGCAACGGCGTCAAGTGGCACCATCGCGGCGGTAACGGCACGGCGGCCGGCGGCTCGACCCGGCGCTTCCAGCGTCACGGCGTCCACAGCCTCGGGCCGGCCGTCGTCGTCGCGCCGCCCGCCAGCCCCCAGGCCGCCCAGCTCCTGGAGAACGGCAGCGTGCTGGAGCCCCACTGGAAGGACCCCGCCGACCCTGCGAGGGTGGCCGCCGACGTGCTCCTGGACGTGGACGTCGTGGACGGCGACGCCGACGGCGTGGGCGCGGACTTGGACGGCTGTCAGTCGGTGGACGACGGCGACGCCGGCTCGGAGCTGGTGGTGATGATCTCCCCCGCACACCGCAAGCCCAGGGTGTACGCCGTCGGGAAGGTGTCTCGGAAGTGGCCCAAGGTGCTCATGCTCAAGGTGGCGCGGAAGCAGACGCCTGCGGCCGAAGCCGTCCCCGCGCAGCACCCGGCAGCGGCGACAGCTCAGCAGGGCGAGACGTGCATCTGAGGCTGACCAGGCTGACGCGTGGGCGGCTATACTCCGTCATGGCGGAGACACTGGAACAGGGGGTAGTGACCCGCCTCCATCGAGCGCTGCTGCCGCTGCTGCACCGAGACAGACAGTGAAATGCACGAATGTGTCGCGTAATTGATACCACCAAGTCTCGGTATTATTGTGATACTAAGTGAATCAAGTGCCCACAAATGGTGATATAGGTGGGGTTTCTGTAATTGTTCTTTAAATAGTCCCGACAATTTCAATACACGGTGGCTGACATCATTGAACTTGCCTTCCTAATGGCAGAGCTACCCATGCCAAAGTTATTTAAAATTATTCCAGGGAAGCTCAGTTAGTAACTTACTTTTTCTTGTTAGGTATGGGCGGGTACTTGTATGTCGGCAGTGCTTAGCGCTTTCTATTCCATGTGCTTCCTCGTACAGCTGTGAATTATTTTCAAATGAATGTACCTGATTATTTTGTTGAGTGTACAGTTATGTGACCAAATTTCTAGTCCCGAGTACTTAATGAAGTGCTTTAAAAATGTGAAGTTTTAAAGGAAAATCATAATTAGAGCCTAAACAATATACTTTCATTATTTACTCTATAAATAACTACACCTAAACACTAATGTCTCCTTTAAAACTATGTTTATGACCTTTGATGGCCAATTCTTGATCTGAAAAATATTTTGTTAATGGGTCATTGGTCATCAATTAGTTTTTAATATGAAGTCCTTACTCCATTTTGGGAAGTAAATAGAGTTTTAAACAAAAATATTGCTTCTCAATGTCGTTATATGGATTTAAAATTCTAAATTACTGTTTGTAAAATTTAAAATATGTTGGTTCTATGACGATTTGTTTAGAAATATAAAGTTTGTAAATAAATGAATGAATAAATGATGCTATATTTATTACAAAATAATGACTTCATTTCCTTGAACACTGCTGCTTAAAACACAAAGGGGTGCATTTGGAAAAACAAGAATAAACATGGAATACATTTTAAAGCAGGAAAGCTATTCATGGTTATATGAAAAAAATACATTCAAGTTCCAGAATTATGGTAGGGACATAGATCTGTTCTGACATGGTAAATCAAAACTAAAAAGCCTCAGTGATGAAAAGGTTCAAAACGCATACTGCGAAAGCTTATTGAGGGGCGAAAGCTTGAGGGCGAAAGAGACACAGAAAAGCGATACGTATTTGAATCGAACCGCGCCCCATAGTTGAGAGCGACTGTAGACAAAAGAAAGAAGAGAAGGCCGATGATCGAAGAGCTGTCTTGTCTGTCTAGCAGCAAGGCTATGGTTTGGGATTTTGTTGAAGTTGAAACCCAAATCGTTTTTGTCTGATCGCTGTCACAAGCGGAACTTGGTTTATAGTGTTCAATCAATCAACGATTTGAGTTGTGAGCATATTTGCAGTAGCATTAAATACTGTTGCTATCCGTTGCTATCCTTCGCCAGGTATGTGGTTTTTGGTGCAAGGTAAGCCCGTAACCTCTTTGTCGTTCTAAATACAATTGTTGTTTATATTGTTCAGGTTGTCACTGCAACTACATTTGCATGGAGCAACATATCTGAAGATGGGTTAACACATCTTTCTACATATATCGAGAAAAACAGAAGTTTCGAGAACTGTTTTTAATAGGCTCTCCCTTTACCCAGTGTCAATATCCTTAGTGCCAATGATGTCTGGAAGACAGTTAAGAAATAGACTTGTACCAAACCCTTCTACTTCTCCAAATTCCTCTACATCTGGAATTGTTGGTGGAAGACAGCTGAGGAGTAGAGTTATACCTACATCTCAAACTCCATCAAACTCAAGTGGATCTGGACCTAGATCTGCTGTACTTCGTAATAATGTCAGGCAGTCTACAAGATCCTCTACCAATCCTGAATCATGTGTCTGCAAAACTCCAAACTCTAAGGTTCGAAGAAGGACTCCAGGAGGGAGATTACCGTCCACCGGAAGTGCTAGGATGTCTCTTGGCGTGAGCTTGAGGAGTGGTGTGGCAGGACACAGGTTACCAGAGAGAGCTGCAAACCAGAAACAGAAAAGTAACCGAAGTACTTCAGTCAAAGTTGCAAGTAAACAGGAACTTTCCAATAATCAAAGAAAACAAGAAGGTCCTGCTCCCAAGCCATCTCTAGTTGTCTTTAATTGCACTGGCACTCTATTCTCCTGTTACGGAGAAAACCATCAGTGTACTTTGTGCATTTGTCCTTGCCCACTGGCATTGGATGGTACTTGTCAATGGGAGGGTGCCATAAATGATGTAGTGGATCATATTACAAAGAACCACTGCCTGGTGGATACAACAACAGGCAAGTACTACCTGTACTTACTATTTACATGCATTGTAAAACCGTGTTGTTTTTCTTTAGTTTGCTAACTGTCTTCTGCTTTTACTCAGGCCCAAATGTCCAAATTAAATTAAAGAATTGGAGGAGACCTACTGCCGCCCAATGGGCTACATTACAAAACTGCCTTGGTCAGTATTTTCTTGTGCTGGTTGAGAAAATGGATATCAAAAAAAGGCCACTATTCATGGGAACTGTGAGAGTATTTGGTCACCAAGATGTTGCAGATCGGTTTGAATTCAGGTAATTTTCTTAAGTTTGAAAAGTGTTGATTCTAGTTTTGAGTTGTATTTATCTTTGATACACCATTCATTATTTTAATTTTTGCCTTATTTAATCTCTCTTCAGGATGACATTGAAAACTAGTGGCAATATAAGCAGAACATTCTCTTATTCAACTGTGGTAAAACCAATCAATGACAAAACAGCTATTGCCAAGAGGGATTGTTTTGTTTTTGATTCTTCACTAGCTGAAAATTTTTCTGTTGATGAAAATCTAGAAGTTGCATTGAGTATATCTGTAATGAAAATGTGATTTTTATCTAACTACCCCAGCTGTGATATTTAAATCCAAACTATTTAAGATTTATGCTATATTGTATTGATCAGCATCAGGTAAATTTGAAAACCAATTCACAGTTACGTGAGGACCATTCCATTATGGATTTTATCAAAATGTGAATGCTCACCTAGCTACTTTGTGAAGAAGTGTATCCTTGTATTAATATCTATGATGTCCTGTAAGTAATTCTCTCACCAACTTTTCAGGGTTAATTTTTCTTGCAATGTTTCACACAGTCTCATACATTTGTGTTCAGGTTTAAGTTCACTTGCTCTTGTTAATGTTTCCAACATTTTTTTCACATCACATCCGTAGCCATTGTAAGATTTGTCACCTATTTTTAGTTTATTCTATCAATTATTATTGTGCAATATTCCTCTGTGAAGAGGTAACTGAAGACTTGAGTGGATCCATGTAAAAAGTTTCTGACATGTCTGTCTACAGGTAAATCCAAAATGTCAGCATATGGGTTTGAAATACGTACGTTTGAAATAGCAAGTGGTTTTGAGTAATGGGAACTGCAGCAGGATACCAAGTTGGGTACATTTGTATTTCAAGAACTAAAGATTAAAGATTCATTTTGAATTTAAATCAAAGTCTCTGTATCATCATTCATTGTACATTTTGAAATCTACAAAGATTCATAATATGTCTTGCAATTTTGAATTATACTGGGTTTGTCAAACCACTTTTGTGGAAGTGCACAGTAGCAAGATAATATTGCTGGTTCAAGAGAATCCCAAAGGAAACACATTTTTTCTTTCTTTTTACGTAATTTGTGTATAATTTACTATTGTTGCTGAACATCTGTATATATTTTGAGGATTGAAACCTACTTGTTCTACAAGAAGAGTATGCACAACAATATAAATGAATTGTAGCTGAAGGGACCGCATACCTTTATTTTGTTTGTAGTGAGCTTTTCACCACTGCCAGACTGTTAGTCTAGTTTATGCATAATATAGTTTGTATTAACAAAATGCCATTATAAATTGCTTTTATCTTTGAAAGCCTGAAACTAAGTTTTTGTTTGTCAAGTAGTTTCATCTAGTAATTAATTGGTTCATTTGGGATGAACGCATTCTGGAAAAAAAAAGGCCTCAGGCCTCTAGAAGTTAAACCAGACTAAACTAAATCTTAAGAAGTTTAAATTTAATGTAAAACTTCTATTTAGCCATTATCAATTTATTGTGTGTGTAAAATTGCTGCAATTGTTCAAATTTTACACAGAACTTGCTTTTATAAAAAGCTATTTAAACTGTTTTTACAATACCTAGTACCGGTACTCAAAAAAATGTCCTGTATTTTTCTAAACATTCTATCGGTCATTGGTGATAAACCAATGAATCCAATTTAAACACACGATGCTTAGTTGTTTACCTAGAAAAAGACAAGAATTTTGTATCCGTTGTTTTAATGTCTGTTTTATAAGAATTTCGGTTAAGGAATGGAGTGTATGGGCAACTTTTTCTATTTTCTTCAATAAGATGTTATTTTCAAATCAAATCTCAGAAATGTTACATTTTTTTTACCTCCTTGAATATTGTACACAAATATATAAAATCACCGCTATAACAAACACCCTCCCCCTTCCTCTTCCGCCTTGAATTTGGTTTCCGAAGACAGCCCTAGTAAGAGAAATTCTGAAGTCAGAAGTTGAACGACGAACACGTCTGACACATGTAAACGGGTGCTACATGCTACCTGCTGTATCTTTACCGGAGTAACACTTTTCGCTCTGGTTAGCGAAGAGTAAATTGTCAAAAATGATAACTCCTCAAAGAATTACCATCGTGAATAGTGTGGTCGAAGTGAGTAACCGATTAATGTTTCCTTCTCCCTTGAAAAGTTCATATGTCACTGAAACGTTCAACAAATGTTTTTTCAGTAGACTCTGGAAACTCAACAATGATTGCCTCGCATACTATCTTCGCAGGATTATAACTATCATTACTGGTAGATTTTATCAGCCAAAAATTTAAATCAAATCAAACTTTCTTACATTTCATAACCAATCCATAACCTTACTACTATTTCATTTCTAGCATATGTTTACTAGTTGCTGTTGCTGGAATACGTATTTTTTCTATTTCTGACTATTATTATTTATTTCAGAGACTGAAAAATGTTGAGGAAAAATCTTCTGGTTTATTGTTTGGACATATTTTTGATAACACCCTGTGCGTTGTAAGTTTTGGCTTTTTTTGCAAACTGTCAGAACTGGTTTTGAATTCCCTACCATCTAATGTGGGCATATGTGGTGCCTTTACTACTGAATCCCAAGTTGAGAAAGCAGAAGATTGTTTTACTACAGTGAAGGTAGTTTTCTTTAGTATCCTGCTCAGTGTGATTTACCCTATTAGATATGTCTCATTCGTCTTTTACCTATCACTCTCTAGGATTTGGAGTTTGTTTGTAGCCCTTTGCTACTAACCAGTGTCAAGGATGGATTGCAGTCCTTCATTCAAATTAATGGGACTTCAAAACCAATGTCTTTTACTACCCTTAGTACTGCTCAATTTGCATCTACCTTCATATTTTGCCGTTCCACCGCTGAGTTCTCTATCAACACTGAGAGAAGTCAACAATGTATTAAATCTTCTCTGGAGGACATGAAAAACAAGGTTAGAGATGCTAGTTGTATTCCTAAAATTTGGTTATACATGGGTAGTTTCCTATTTTACACTTGAGTTTCCCTGTGATCGACAGGTACTTTCGCAGAATGTGGCATTTATGCTTCCTAACCAGAAGTTATTTCTAACTGGAGAGACAATATCGCAAGGAGGAGGAATCACTGGAGATCACCGTGTGAAAGATCTTTTTGATTCCCAGTCAGACCGTGGTGGTAAAGACATGGTAAAATATTAGATTTTTTTTTATACCATATACCTTCCTAAGATTATGTTCATCCTATGACAATGTTTTGGTAATTTAATTTCAGGATATATTGTCTGTTCAAATGCATCTCAAGCAGACCAAAGATCTTGATCTGAGAAGTATACAAAGTGCAGTGCCTCTCATCCGTCATATCAGACGTAGGTGCTATAAAATCTATATTTACACATTGCTATTTCACAGTTGTAAATTTTTATAACCTTTTTTTTTCACTCAGGCTCCATTGAGAGTGTAAATATTCCCATAAAAGTTGATGTATTGGCACTGTTGCATAGAAATGCAAAGGTTGGAACTCTATTTAGCGTTCTTTCAAATTCTTTTCTCCATGGGCTGAGACTAATAGAGGCGAATTTATTGCATGATTGTGCTCTAGGTAAAATGTGCTCATAGTTTGTTTTTGTTCTCTTAAAATTGGTGTGTGACAAGAGAATGCTGAGATCAGTCCTTAAATGTTCCAGAAAAGATCTCTACCCCTGAGACATATCACTTTTTACCCGTCCAATCTAATGTATTTATTTCCACTGTCTACCCTAAGACAAGTTCTGATGCAGAATTAAGTGAGTTCTTTCTCTCGCATAATTCGTATATTCATCTGACCATAGACTCTAATAATCCATTTTTTTTTACCTTAGGGACACGACGTGAGCAGCTGCATCAAAGTTTCGGTTTTGCATTGGATCAACCTCTTTTTCGGAGATCTCAATCCTACAAATTTGCAGGGGAGAGGAAATCAAATGGTCCTCTTATAAATCCACATGAAGGATTAAATTCAGGGGGTACGTATGGTTATTCTTAAGTCTACCTTAAAATTTTTAGAGAGATAGTTAAAATCTAGGAGTTAATTATGCTGTTTCTCTCTGAAGTGAAAGGCGGGCAGAGCTCCCTCGTAAAGGGGCTTTATAACTACCACCATTACATGCAAGACCGCTTTGATGACAATGGTTGGGGTTGTGCCTACCGCTCCTTACAAACAATAGTGTCATGGTTTAGGTAAGTATTGTATGAATTTTTATCATATGTTGTCATCTTTAGATTTGACAGAAATTAGTTTTTCTTGCTTTATTGATGATCACAATAACAACTTCAATAGGCTGCAGGGCTATACCGAAGTTCAAGTCCCAACACACAAACAAATTCAAGAATGTCTTGTTAAAATTGGTGATAAACCCTCATCTTTTATTGGTTCAAGAAAGTGGATAGGCTCCACAGAAGTTAGTTTTGTGCTGGAAACTCTTCTTAATGTAACTTGCAAAATATTAACAGCGAGCACTGGTGAAGAAGTTGGTACATTAGGTTCAGAGCTCTCCTATCATTTCCAAACTCATGGAACACCAATAATGATAGGTATGCAATTTTGTTTTCTACAAAATGTTACATACTACTGGTACATATTTATTTGATTGAACTCAAATTTGAACAGGTGGTGGAGTTCTGGCCCATACTATAATTGGAGTGGACTACAACCGTTCAACAGGAGACATAAAATTCTTAATTCTTGATCCTCATTATACTGGAGGAGAAGACATAAATGTCATTACTGGCAAAGGATGGGTTGGCTGGAAGGATATCAAATTTTGGACAAAAAATGCATTTTATAATTTATGCCTTCCTTTGAGACCAATTGGTGATATTTAAAGAGGGAGCTGTAAATGTGATAAGTATACTATATTCTTTAAATTACCCCAAAGGTTCAGCCGTTGGGTTTTTGAAAGACTTTTATAAACGGGGGACCAGTACAAGGGTTAATGATTTTAAATGCTATCAACTTCTTAAAAACTGAAATGTATGTTAATGAATGTTTTTAAATCTAATTGGTACTTTTTAAAACAAGCATATTAAAGTTTCCATGTGATTTTTTTTTTTTTCCTATCACTTTTTCTAGAAACTCAATGCTTTTATTTAAATGATGGAAATAAAATATGTTTGCGTATGAGGTTGAAACGGTTTTGTTTGCCTTTTTCATCCATTATGTAATTAAACATTAGAATTTGTATATACAGATATATATTTTTTATTTTTGTATTTGGGGCACACCCGGACTCTCCAATGGCGTAATCTAATAAATTGTTGTTTTAATAGAATAAGAAAGATAACATAAATACGGTAAATGCCTGATTCCGTCTCTCCAACATCGTTAGTTCATTTATCTATTTCAGTCTGTTGCTATTTTAATAACTTAAGGGGCTCCATTTACAGCTAGATGTAGAAATGGTAACAGCGCTTACAAGTTATTTCAACAACTGTGAGCTTATTGCTGCTCATAGACTGTCAGCAGGACAAATTGAATTTGGATGTAGAAGTTTTTTTTATCTTGGAGATGAGAATGATCTCTCTGTACCGAGGGAAAACTTTCATGGTCAGACGACAAAGCCTAGTACACATGGTGAGTACAATTTCATATGGAGTAGGGTTACAATTTTTATTAGGACAACTATATTTATATTCATCAAGTTAAATATTTGTGTTTAAATCATTGAGCATTCAACCATAAAGCAGGACTCCTGGAAGAAACAAGGGCTTACAATTTTGCTAAGTTTTATTTTATTTTTTTCCTAAAATCTTGGAAATATTTCTTTTAATGTGTTTAGGTCCAGATTTTTCTTTTACCCTTTGTTTTGCACTTGTTTTTGCTCTAAGGCAGGCAGAAATATTCCAGTTCGTGCAAACTAAATTCTCCTTGTCTTCTTAATCCTGTAACAGCAGAGTTAAAAATGCATGAATATTCATGATATTCCGCCTGTGAACATTTGACGTTGAGTTGACATTGTTTGTCCTAGGCAGTGCTTTTGAAGCATGGCTCGTCAATGTTATGCAGCTACCTTAAACTGTAAGGAGTCCAGAGAGGAGTTGGTGTACAGGTAGACCAAATTTCTGTTTTTACCCTGTTGCAGGAAGATCGCCCATCTGTTGCATCTGTGCTAGACACCAGCCAAGCAGCAGTCAGGTGTCACCCTACGTAAACTGGAGTGGCGTCACAGCACACAGCATGAGAAATAGTCCCTTTTTCTCATGATCACAGGAATGAATCTGGTAAGTTTTGACTTTTTATGTAATGTTTACAAAAAAAAAATCAATACATTATGGCTGAGTCATTTTGGGTAAAAGTTTATTTTGGTATTTGTTTCTATTGGAGGGTTACTTGTCAAATCTCTACTGTCTCTATGCTACCTCCTTATACTATATACAGCTTATTACTTGATCCTAAAAATGTAGTTGTGTGTTGATTTTAGTGGAGGGAAGTGAGAGAGGCAAATCATCAGAGTGTCAGTTACAGTAATGCTGCTATTTATTTCATTTGTATGGTACAGTCGTAGTAAAATAGGAAGTGATGCTGCTTCTTGTCCAAAGGGATGTGCCTGGACTTGATGCTGGCCACCTGTAACATAGAAAGTTCATTCGATGAGCTGGCATCACAGTGATACATATGGACCAGAAAACGTTTGAGTTGAACTCTGAGATAATTAGAATTTAACTTATAGATTTTTTTCATTCTTTTTCAG